CTCTCTCTCTCTCTCTCTCTCTCTCTCTCTCTCTCTCTCTCTCTCTCTCTCTCTCTCTTAGTCTGCAGATACTGAGAAGTCAGGTAGCAAGAGGGTGAGGGAGAGATGGTGGACTTCGCCCTTCTCTCTCTCCTAACGCTACTCTACCTCCTAGCAGCGCCCAGCGCTGAAGACTACTGCAGCGCTCCTCCAGAGTGCTGCGGCCAACTCTTGAAGACTGCCTCCTGAACTGCACGTGAAGTGCCTGGGAAGTCCCTTTGAACTCCTACCTCGGAAGTCCCTACCTCTGCCTGCAGTCTGCAGGGCGGGCCAGTACTATATAGTGCTGGCCTGTCCGGGAGGCTGCGCTTGCCAATGCCGAAACGTGCCAGACCATGGCGCTGAAGTCCAAACAAAGGTTGTCTTGAAAACAGGCCCAAAATGGCATGGGCTAAAACCCTGGTCTGGCGCCTAAGTTTCAGGGTAGGTCGACTTTATGAGGGCCTGAAAATGGCCCTCGTTTTTAGGTTTCTGGGCTGAAACGACACAGGGCCTGGAGGGCTTTTTTACGCTGAAACGTCACAGGGCCTGGAGGGCCCTTACTTTTGCCTGGTCGGGTCCTGCAGGGCCCGTTGTCGGGCGGCTCAAGCCCTACGCCGCCCTTTACTTCCTTTGAAGAGTCTACAGTTGAGGGTCGAATTTCGCACAGTGGCCTGTGCCGACGGTTTTCACCTTGCGGATCAAGCGGGCGGCAGACGATTGGCTGATGGGGGATGGACGGACGGGAAAAACCAAGTTCAGGCGAGGCTATGGCAAAATTCTTTTCTTTTCTTTTCTTTCCTTTCTGTCTTCTTCTTCTTTTTCTTGGCTCATGCAACGGGCAATCTAGGTGCTTTGGCTTTGAACCTGCAACCTATGATATCTGTCCTTTGCTTAGAATTCGGGCGCTTTGGCTTTGAACTGATATCTGGCGCTTCGGCTTTGAACCTGCAACCTCTGATATCTGTCTGTTACTCAGAAGTCGGATACTTTGGCAATTCGGACGCTTTGACAATTTATTTTCCCGTCACCGCTAGACTTTGATCCCGCAACCTCTAGTATCTGTCTGTTACTTAGAACCTTGTATAGTAGGCTCTGAACCTTTATTTCTTACTTTCCATCTGTCTGTATTAGGCTTTTAACCTCTTACGTCTTAGGTGTCTCAATCCCGTAGAGTCTCGACTGTCCATATTGGGTATCTTCTCGTTTTTTCTAGAAAGCTCTTGCAGGTCTTTACCGGGACAGTGGTACTCAAGGTTGACGACAAATTCTGGATATAAACGAGTAGTAACTTCATCAGTCTCATCCTGCGCTAGGTACTATGACCCCTGAAGACGCCGGACGGGCGACCGACAGAAACACAGTGTCGGGTCTTTCGCCTGACATGCGTGATATTGTGCTTCATGTTTTTCCATTACGCAACTACCTGCGCTCGGTTCTCTACTTCCATCTTCGTCCTGTGTGGTGTGCTTTCATGTATGCTGCTTTTTTGTATCTGAGCACCATTGTGTTTGAGCACTAAGACTGATGTTTGCAACATTAGTCCACGCATGAACCAACGTAGCAATTGTACTACGGATGTGTGATTGCGACCCTCACCCCTACTTGCATTCGATGATTTCTATCACTACCATTACTCTCACTCCTTCTATACCGATTAGTTGTATTTCTTCTTTTCTTTTTCTTTTTCTTTTTCTTCCTCTTCTCGTCTTCCATCTGAACGAATCTATGACCAAGTTCTTCTTCATCAAAATTAAAGCCAATGCTAGAAACAACACAATTGAGAAGCTGAAAGACCCATCGGATCAGGGGGGAGCAAAAACAGCTGGCTTGGACATGGTAAGGATTGCCAGATCCTTCTATGCAGCCCTCTACGAATCCAAAACACCCTCACCCCCCTCCACGATAAACATAGCATCCCGTCAACAAATGATGTCTTACCTAGACAGAACGATCTCATCAGAACAATTAGGCTTGGAAAAAACAATCACCCTAGGGGAGCTCCAAGCGGCCTTATCACAGATGGGAAACGACAAGGCACCAGGGATCAATGGACTCTCCAAAGAGTTTTGGGTCCAGTTTTGGCCTATCCTAGGGAACGACCTCCTCAAATTTATCAACGACAGCAAAGTGAAGGGAGGTCTGGGTTCATTCCTAAGCACCAGTGTGGTCTCGTTACTCCACAAGAAAGGCGACAAAGAGGACCTAAAAAACTATAGACCAATTTCACGACTCACAACCCCTTACAAAATACTGGCGAAAGCACTAGCTAACAAGATCATAAAGCTCACCGACAAGTGCTTTCACATCGATCAAGCAGGGTTCATTCCAAGTAGATACATACTAGCACAAGTGGTTAACGGGGACCCCCACTTTTCGGGGTCAAATTTTGTGTAACGATGAATGATCCTGAAATTAGGGTTTCGGGGTCAAATTTTGTGTTTTTTTGGATTTTTTTTTTTTGTCTGTTGTTGTTTTAGGACAAGCTTGCTGTGTGTCAAATTTGGTGTCATTTGGGTTATTAGAATYTGTGCTGTTAATCATCCTGAAAATCCTGAAATTTTGATGAACTTGTTTTTTGGCAAAATTGCCTGAAAATGCACTTTTGAGTTGCTGTTTTATGTGTTTTTTTTTTTTTTTTTTGGTATTTTTTTTATAATATGTTAGTAAGAAGTGCACTCTATAGATTGGTGTGAAGTTTGCTTGGGATGGCCTTATGGTTTGACCCTGAATAGGCAGCAAGGAAGGTGACTGAAAAACGAATGCAGGCGGCCATTCTATTCTTCGATTTCAAAAAAGCCTACGATCAAGTGAAATGGGATTTTCTGCAAAACTACATGGAAAAGATGGGAGTGGGCTCAAATTTCAGAGAATGGGTCAGAATTCTATATGGCGACGCCACGGGCAGAGTCCAAATAAACAGGATAGTGTCAGACGCCTATCCGATATCAAAGTTCGTCCATCAAGGTGACCCACTAGCTCCCCCCATCTTCATGTTCATCATGGAGGCCATCACTTCCTTCCTTCGCAAAGACCCCTCTATAGACCGCCTCACCACGCAAAACTACGACCCCCTTCACGACTTCAACGCTGATGTTCGCCGATGATCTAACAGTCCTCATTTGTGCCAACAACTCCTCGTTCCAAACCCTTGTCAGAGCCATGGAAGCCTTTCGACTAACATAAGAAATGAAGGTAAACTTGTCCAAAACCGAAGGCTGGTGGTTCGCAGACAGCACCCCTCCTCAACCTCCTGATTTATCCACTCCCATGTCACAGTCCACGGGTGACCAAGCACTTAGATACCTGGGAATCATGGTCAACAAGTACGACACATGGCCAGGGATGGGCCAAATCTTAATCACAAAGGCAATAGCCCACCTAGCCCTGTATAAGAGAGCCCAGGCATCCCTGATTGGCAGAGCACTTATCATAAACACGTTAATATTCTCCACGCTATGGTACATGGCATCCATCGGCCCCCCCCACTGACGAAGAACTCAAGACTCTAAAGGCGAGGGTCATATGTTATTTATGGACGGGCGACCCCAACAAAACTACCTGCATAAACAAGGTTCCCTGGCAAATTGTCATCATGAAACCGCAAGGAGGGCTGGGGATTATTGACCCTAGACAGGAAACTATCACCTTGCAGATGGAATGGATAATTAAGATTCTCATCAAACAATTCCTCCCATGGACGAAACTGGCCTTGGACGGTATAAGGAACCTCGCTCCGATAAGCTCCCCATCCAATATGCAAGGCCCCTTCTGGATTATGGCCAAAGAATGGGCAATCAAAACAGGGAGGTCATCAATGAGAACCCAACAGCAACCAACCAGTCAACCCACCCCCTCGGCTAACCCATACTGGACGCCAACGCTGAAAACCTGGCGTCGAATGATGCCCAACAAACA